TGCCCTCCCTTCACCCCCTCCCCCCTCCCCAATTTGTAAATGCATTTTGATTTGTTTGTTTAAAATTGACCTAGAAATCGCTATGTAGCCCAGGCTGGCCTCAAACTCACAGTGATCCTCCTACATCAGCCTCCCGAATGCTGGGATTACAGGCGTGTGCTACCACGCCTGGCTCTGTAAACGCATTTTGACATAGCTATTACTTCTTACATCTCATGTTCAGCATATATCCACAAAGATTTGAATCAAAACTTGCTTTTTTCTGCTCTCTATTCTTGAAAAGCAATTACATTAGCCCGATATCTGAACAGTTAAGCCTGATGATACCTATATGTGTTGGAGCACATGATAACAAATGGATTACTAGACAGAAAATCATAGGAGAAAGTCCATTCAAGAGACTAGTTCCTCAGGGGGCCCCAAACACATGTCCTACTTTAGTGAAGGCTTCAAGACTTGTATGGAGAAAGCTTAGGCCTAGCCATTTGATAGGGGGTTGATTGAACATGGGGCACAGAGCTATCTCTTAAAATTTCATCTGTGTACTAAATAAGCATTCTTGGACTGTAGAATAATCTGAGGAGGCTGGCAAATTGAGAATTACAAGTGGCTTACCTTCTATACTTGACACCCAGTAAAGCCTTTCAGCATCTGATATAATCTTTATATTATTATGCAGAATTAGACAGGGTAGTATTATCACCACATCCAAATTTAAAATTATTAAGTAGGAATATCGAGTAACTTATCTGAAGTCTTAGTCTTTGGGGAGATGTATTGTAAACTTAGGCTGTATGACTTCAAGTGGAGACTTCTTTTTGCTCAAAGCAAAACCTGGATTAGACAATGGTAAAGCCAGTGAATAGTCTACTAAAAGCACTTTCAGGATCCCACCGGCTGAATATTGATTCTCACTGAGGACCTAACTGCCCAGCAAAAATACAGTACAAGTACAGTCTAGGTACTGGAAGGACCATGGGTGGACCTTCTAATCATATACTTCCACAGGACTAAACACCTATGTACTTCAGTGGTTGCCTAATTTGGTCATTCTTTTTTTGTTTTTTTGGCACCGGGAATTGAACTCAGGTCCTCGTACTTGCAAGGCAGGTGGCAGAACCACTGGGCTAAATCCCTGGCCCAATCAATTTTTATTTATTGTATCCTAATGGTAGATAAAGATTCTGAGTAATCTTAAATAATGAGGAGCAGGCAAACACTTTCATTTGCTTATTTGAGCAATGAAAATATATAAGTAAAATTTTATTTCTAAAAATATATTCAAAACGAAGCAGAAACTTGTAGACTTGTTTGAAACATACCCATTGAGTGAAAATGCTCAAATACTCAAAAAGGAAGAAAGTGTCTGATGCTTTTTCATTTGGCCATTTACCAAACTTTTATCTTTAATAGTCTGTGTCTTATTTAACACAATTGCATTAGTACTGAGAGAGACGGTTTGTTGTTTCAAAATTCATGAGCATCAATGGCTTTGTTAAAAGTTGGAATGATTTATTTTTATACAATAGGGAAGATTGTAAGAAGTTTCATATTTTTTTTGGAGCAGGGGAGTTGCTGGAGATTGAACTCAGCCTCATGCATGCTAAACATGATCAAATTCTAGAAAGTTAAAAAATCACATTTTGGTGAAAAAATAAAATGTTTACTTACTATCATCAGTAATTTCACTCTTTAGAGAAATCCCGTAGCTAATACTCTGGAAAGGTAAGGAATTATTTTTGTGAATCAATCCTGAACTGATAGATTATGGATGATTGAAACCTCAGTCATTTTGCAATTGTGTAGTTCACTGTCTTCCTCATACAGTTAAAGACACAAAGACACACAATGGTTCAGCAGCTTATCCAGGATTACATACTAAGCCACTTATTTAGTCTTCAATCTCTTCCAATTCTGATGTGCTTATGTCCACTATAGCGCTTGTTGAATTTACATAGCGGTAAATCAACAATTTGAGCTTTAGAATACTCAGTTATATGTGTTTTTTTTTTAATTCTGATTACTAGAATATGTAATGAAATTCTTAATTTAAAGGAAAAAACAAAACATTTTTAATTATGACACGTAATTACTGCTGTAGGCTCTGCTGAAGATGGACTGCCAAGGGTTAGTAGCACATCTTATCCAAGAGGCTGTTATTTTGACTTCAGCTGTCAAGCTTGGCAAAGGCTGGAGAGAACTCGCTGAAAAGTTAGTACAACTCACAAAGCAACAAATAGAGACATATGAAATTCCGCATCAAGGAAAAACTGGAGATGTTGCTGTTGAGGTGAGATTTTTTTTTTTTTAATGTCTAATGCTATGGTGAAAAGTTGCAGACCAGGTAAAATGTGTAATCAAGCCTGTACCATATTCACAGGTTAATTGGGAGCACTTCCAAAAAGATCTACTAACTGAATTACTACTTCTGAAACTGATCAAAACTATCCGAAATACACATGCATCACTCTTAAGTAATTAAGAGCCTTGGAAATGTGTTGATGTTTGTCCTTGAATTTCATATTTATATGGCCTTTGGTCAAATGAGTTGATTAAATAATGGACCATTTAATAGGCAGGGACATAAAAACCTGAAACATAGAACAGTTGAATTTTGAAGTGAGGCAATTGGACGAAGCCAAAGCAAAGGAGGAAGATATTAATAAGAATTATTAATAAGCCTCAGATACTGACTTATTCATTTGTTGCAAACGTTGCTGAATGGCAAGAAACATTAAGAGGGTGAGTCATGTGAAACCTGTTAGTGAACAATGGTGATGTCTAGGAGCTTTATCATTGCCTTCATAAGTTTCATACATTACAAACTACAAATACCAAATACAGAATGGCAGCATTCAGTTCAAAGTAAACTTTTGCCCTGTAAATACTGGTTTTATAAAACAAATTTATTGGTACATTTTAGATATACATAGTGATCATGTTCGTAGGGAATTTGTGCCTGTACACAATATACCTTGTTTCTTCCTTTTTCTTCTACTAATCCTTTCCCCTCCCTTCAACCCCTCTTCTCCTCATTATTTACAAAGGTTTTATTTCCATTTTTCCTTCTATTCTCTTATTTCTTTTCCTTGCATTCTTTCCCCCTCCCCTATCCATGTTTCCCTTCTAATTTGAGCATTTTCTTCCCATTTCCCAAAAATCTATTATACATTTTGGACTATATTTACTATCAGTTTTTCACACCAGAGAAATGATACAGTAGTGAAACATTGTGTTTCCCCATCTGTTTCTCTTAGGAGTATGGTCTCAAGGTAAATCCATGTACCTATACATGTCTGAAGTTTATCCTTCTATATATCAAAGCAATACTGATATATAATACTGTGTGAAAATACCACATCTTCTTTATCCATTCATCCATTGATGGGCATTTGGGCTGTTTCCAAGATTTAGCTATCACGAATTGTCCTGCTAAAAACCTGGGTGTGCATATATATCACTGTGGTGTGATGCTTTTAATTCTTTCAGTAAGATACCAAAGGAGAATCATTGAGTCAAATGGAACCTGTAGTTTTAGTTTTTTGAGAAATCTCCACACTGATCTCCACAGTGGTTGCACCAGTCTATACTCCCACCAGCAGTGGAGAAGGGTAACTTTGTCCCCACACCCCTGCCAGTTATTGTTATTGGTTGATTTCTTGATAACAGCCATTCTTTCTGGAGTGAGATGAAATCTCAGTGTTCTTTAATTTTCATCTCTTGAATGACCAATGATGTTGACCATTTTTTTCATGTTTATTGGCCATTTGTACTTCTTCATCTAAGAAGAAGTCTATGTCTAATCATTTCATATGCCCATTTTTGGGTTGGGTCTTTAAGATTGGGTCTTTAAGTTCTGATTTTTTGAGTTCTTTATATATTCTAAATATAAGTCCCTGGAAAAACAGCTGGCAATTTTTTTTGCACTCTGTGGGTTGTTTCTTCACTCTGTTGGTGGTTTGTTTTACTGTGCAAAAGTTCTTTAATAAGATGAGGTCCACTTTGTTAAATCTTTGTATTATTTCTTGTGTGATCAGGGTTTCATTCATGAAGTCTTTGCCTACACCTATATCTCTAAGAATTCTACCTATTCTATATTCCAATAGATTTAAGATTTTTGTTTTAATATTTAGGTCCTTGATCCATTTCAATTTTAGTTTTGTTCATGGTGAGAGATATGGGTCTCAGTAATCTTCAGCATTTGGAAAGCCAAGTTTTCCAGTACTATTTATTAAGGAGGCTATATTTGTTTCAATGAAGATATTTTGCCCCTTTGTCAAAGATGCGGTGGCTGAGTGTGTTTGGAGTTGTTTCTCTATTTTTTAATCTGTTCTGTAAATTATCAGGTCTGTTTTGTTGTTGGTGTTGTTGCTGTTGTTGTTTGCTTCTTTTTTTGCCAGTACTATGCTATTTTTGCTTACTGTAATTTCTATTGTAGTTTCAAGTCAAGGACTGTGATGCCTCCAGCCTTGCTTTTGTTACCCAGATTACTTTTGCTATTCTAGGTCTCTTCTGTTTCCAAATTAATTTTAGGATTGTTTTGTCTAATTCTGTGAAGTACGCTGTTAGTATTTAGATTGAGATTGTATTAAATCTAACCCTAATCCTAACCCAAACCCTAACCCTAAGCCATCTATGACAAACCAACATCATACTAAGTGGTCAAAAACTGAAAGCTTTCTCTCTAAAATCAGGAATAAGACAAAGATGTCTGCTATCACCACTCTTATTCCACATGGCTCTGGAAAATTAGCCAGAACAATTAAACAAGAGAAAGAAATAAAAGGAGTAAGAAAAAGAAAGAAAGAAGTTAAAATATCACTACTTGCAGATGAGTGATACACTACATGGAAGACCCCAAAAACTCCACTGAAAGATTTCTAGATTTAATAATCAAATTCGGCAGCACAGCTGGATATAAAGACATCACTCAAAAATCAATAGCATTCTTGTACATAAATAACAAGCTCACTGAGAGAGAAATTAAGGAAACCTTACATGTCACAAAGGCATGAAATAAAAATAAATACTTAGGAATCAATCTAAGGAAGTAAATGACCCTTAAATTGAAAACTACAGTACTCTGACAAAAGAGATCAAGGATAATACTGTCATTTTTAATCACTATTATAACAAATATATTCTGCCAGGCACAAGTTAAGTATTTTTTCCTGATTACCATAAAGCAATGTGAGTCACCTTTTACTGAATTAAATAAAAAAAAAATCCAATGATGAACACATGTAAAATATTCTGTATCTTTCACATAAGTGTATTTAGCAAAACATTCTTTCTTTTATTAGATGATGACTTGGTAGAAGCAGAGCTATACTCTCCACATCCATTCTGGGTATTGAACTGTGTATTAATTTTTTAATAATTTTTCTTACTATAAAGCAACTGTCCTAACTGGGTGACTAAGACAAAGTAATCTTTCCATGAAGAGTAAAGACTCAAACCAAGTCAGCTAAATCCCAGCAGCTGCAGGGAGTGTCAGCAAGCTGGCCTCTGAGTTCTCAGAGCTGGCTCTCTGTCAAGAACTCCTTATGCCAGGAGTGGCTGAGGACTAGTGAATTACAGCCCCCACAGACTATGTTTTTCTGTATAAACTTAAAGGGCACTTCAATCTATAAAGAGCATTCAGTGCAGTCTGAAAAATGGACCCAAGTGTGTACTGAATGAGCCAAGATATCAGAAGTCCTTAAGAAGGAAAAAAAGAACAATATTGTGAGAAATGTGCTGTTCTGACTCTGACATTACTGCTAATTTAAAAAGTTGTCTAATTTAAAGTGTAACTTCTTATTTTTCTTAAGAAAGCCCCATTTTTAGTGTTTTGTTGAGACTTACTGGAGAACTATTTATTCTGTCTTCCTCCTTAAGCATCTTGTTTCTCTCTGTGTTTATAGCTTTTTTTCACCAAAATCTTGATGGGAGCCAACAGCCTACTTTTCCATTATTTACTTTTGCACAGACCAAATCATACATGACTAAGTCTATGTTTAAGGATGATAAATATTCAGAAGCATAAATGACAACTCTTACATGTTTTTCTAGAGACTACAGTTACGTTTACTGTGATTAATACTAGCAATCACCACTCAGATACATTCTATAACCTATAGGAATTTTTTTCCTCTTAGGCCACTTAAATTACAGGCTAAATATGATAAAAAATAATCTACAAATAAGCATAAAATAATTAATATTCCAGGAACCCAATAGGAGACCAAAATCCTACAAGCAGTTAGAGAAAAGAAACAAATCACCTACAAAGGAAAGCCTCTATGAATCACAGCGGAATTCTCAACACAAACCCTCAGGGCAAGAAGACCTTGGAGTGATACATTTCAAGCCGTAAAGGAAAACAGCCTCCAATCCAGATTGATGTACCCTGCAAAACTATCTCTAAAAATTTATGGAGAAACAAGATACTTTCATGAGAAAGAGCACCTTAGGAACTTCATGAGTACCAGACCAACACTCCAAAATTTTTTAAACAATATCCTGGGAAATGACAATGAGGATCACCCAAGGAAGCCCAGCAGAATGAATCCATCAGGCACAATAAGAAATTAAATGCAAAGGGGGAGAATCCAACAAAAAGCAAAAGTAATGACAAGGATAAGTCAGGATATATCAGTTATAACCATAATGTTAATGGTCTCAATTCACCAATCAAAAGAAATAGACTGGCAGAATGGGTCAAGAAGCAAGATCCAACAATATGCTGCATACAAGAAACACACTTAATTCAAAAAGAAATTCAAAGACTAAAAGTTAAAGGGTGGAAAACAATACTCCATGTGGAACCTGAAAAAAAGTAATAGTAGCTATCCTTTTTGCATATCAAGTTGATTTCAAATCAACACTGATCAAGAGATACAAAGGACACAACATCCTTGTAAAGAGAACAATCCAAGAGGAAGAGATGACAATAATTAATATATGTGCACCAAACACTAGTGTGTCCAACTATATAAAACAAATACTAATGGACATGAAGAATAATATAAGCACTAATACACAGTAATGGAAGGCATCAATATCCCACTATCACAAATAGATATATCACCAGGCAAAAAATAAACAATGAAATAGTAGAACTCAATCAAACTCTTGAACAAATAAACTTAATACATGTTTACAAAGTGTTCCACCCCACACAATCAGAATACACATTCTTTTTGGCTGCATGTGGATAATTCATCAAAATAAACCACATACTTGCTCATACAATATGTTTAAGTAAATGCAAAGTAATTGAAATGATCCTCCGTATATTATCAGACC